AAAAAAAAAAAAAAAAAAAAAAAAAAAAACACAAAACCCTGCAAGACCCATCGGAAACGTGATTAATCCATTCTAGCCAAAGGTGGTGGGAGGGAGAAAAACAAGCAAACTATGCAAGACCCATTGGAAATGCAAAAAAAGCAAAGCTTGCAAGACCCATCGGAAATGCAAAAAAGCAAAGCAGAAGGCAAGCAAAGCATGCAAGACCCACCAGAAATGCAAAAAAAGCAAAGCAGAAAGCAAGCAAAGTGTGCAAGACCCATCAGAAATGCAAAAAGAGCAAAGCAAAAAGCAAGCAAAGTGTGCAAGACCCATCGGAAATAGGGGGAAAACCGAAAAGCAACCAAACCCTGCAAAACCCATCAGAAATGGGGGGGAACCCAAAAAAGCAACCAACCCCCCCAAGACCCATCGGAAATGGGGGAAAAAACCAAAAAGCAACCAAACCCCACAAGACCCACTGGAAATGGAACAAACAAAACAAAAAACAAACAAACCTGCAAGACCCATCACAGCATAGAAACATAATCCCACCACCCAGCCCAAAACCACACTGCAAAACCCACCCAGAACAGTTTTTAAAAAGCAAAAAGCCACACCTTACCTTAACAGGCAGTCCGAAGCCTCTTCCAATCGCACTCACTCTTAACCGTTGGGGCGAAAGAGCTACAAAGAAGCAGCCTCTTCGCCTACCAATGGCTATCAATTTGATTTCTCTGCCTTTTTTACTTGCCTTTTTTTGGTTGTAACTCGAAGCTCTGGCCACAAGTCAAAGCAAAACTTTTGTGGCCGGAGCTGGCCGTAACTCGGGCCATTCGTAAGTCAAGGCACCACTGTATGTCTGAAGTTCTGGAACTCAGTACACATCTCTGGTTACCAGAGGCAGAAACAACCTTCTCTCTTTTACATTCCTAGGCCTTCAGATTTGAAAATGGCCTCCTTGCAAAGCTGACTATGCTGTTCCTGCACACATTCCTCTACCTGAACCATTTCTCCTTTCATTATACTTTTCTACTGCCCACCTCTTGATGGACGATTGAAATAGACAGTCCATTCTGACAGTCCGGTTCATATTACACTTGACTGTGTAAAAGCAGTTCATTGCCCACCATGAACCTTCCACTAGCCCGATCTAGATGATTATGCTTTCTACGAAAGTACCGTAACTCTGTTTCTATAATGGTGAGCTCTGGCCATGATCTGACTGAATACACATGCTGATGGACGAAGCTTTGGCAGTGGATCTCAGAAGAGATGGTTTCCTTCCCATGGAGCACCCGCACCATGAGGTCTCCTTCTTTCCCTCCTCCCCCAACAGCCCTCTGATCCAAATTAGATTTTGCTATGGAGGTTTATCCAGCTTTCCCAATCAGACACCGAGGATGTGTGGGGTGGCAGGTCTAGGTGAGGAACAACTTAATCCTGGATCTGCCTTCCATCAGCATGTGTATCAAAACTGGATCCTGGCTTCTGATTTTACCATGCAGAAATCACAAACGTCACCTGAACGTATCTTCCCGATTTGATCCCTGCTTCCAGCGCTTCCACGGGGACATGTTCGGCATACTCCTTCCCATTATTTTCTTGGCTTTCATTCTCCCGTTCACGTCGTGACTGGACTATGGAATCAAAAAGCTCGTGAGCAGCTTTTAAATCAGGCCAAAAGTTGTCTAAATAATTCTGTGTGGATAGATAAAGGAGATCAGCATTAGATTTCTTAATGTCCTCACCCCTGATCCTACAGGGATCAGCAGAAGAGTCAAAGGAGTTTCTGCTTGTTTTCCCTGGTGAAAAACTTGTAGTACCATATTTTTCCGTTTATAAGATGCCCCATGTATAAGATGCCCCCACTTTTCTAACCCCAAATTAAGAAATCTAAGTGGGGCTTAGCAAGTGTAGGGGGAAGGGATCAAAGCACTGCAGGATCACTTTGATCCCTGCTTTCCTCTTCACTTGTTTTTGTTCTCTCCTCAGCTTACTTCCATGCATAAGATGACCCTCAATTTTTAGTCTAAAAATTTTAGACAAAAGTATAGTCTTAAACATGGAAAAATACGGCACTTTAGCTTGGCCAGGAGACATGGCACTTCCACCATCTGTGCACTCAAGACGTGAGTCCCAATAAGCTTGTCCGATGTCTATTGCTCACAGAAGCCAAGCCATACAAAACTGGCCAAGAGTCCTCTAGAGAGCGCAGCTGGCTCCTTCCCAAGGATAAAATCTAAAACGGAACAGGTCTTGCCGCCATTACAGGGTGTCAGACAGCTTCAGCAACATCTTTCCGCGGCAAGGTCCATTGGCAGCTTTCCAGCTTCCTGTTCTGAGAGACTGGTAGTGATTGGCCTGTTTGGGTTTGATTCCCAGAAACTATTAAAAGCCTGGCAGTGCTCACTTCCCCTGCAGGCCTCAAGCCCAAGCAGAACAAGAGACTTAACACAGTTTAATTTAAATACAGACTTCCATGTGAAGCTGTTGTAACTATATTGTTCTATACAGCCATTGGTTTTTGTTTGTTTTGTTTTGTTACCCTGAAGCTGGACTAAGGACCCTGTGGCACGTGGGTAGCATGAAGCCCTTGGCTTAATATCCTATGACCTGCAAAGAAAGAGGTCATACAATTCTGTGATGTTATAAATCCCACCCACCTTTGGGTTTGTTTTGACCAAGAGAAGCCGAGGACCATTAACTAATTTTTGAATATCAATGGTTCTCTGGGGGTGGGTGGGGGAGGAGTTCTCGATCCCCATCCTAAGGGATATAATCCAGACCGTCCAAATCAGGATTGCATTGTGAAGTTGTCTCATAAACCTGTTCCACTCTTTGATCAGCCACTCCAGACAATGTGCAGAACGTGCCTAGCTCCTTGAGCAATCTCAGCAGCAATGGGACCCAAATCTAGATGTCAGATTTCCTTATGATCGAGTGATGCATGCAGATATAGTACTGTATCATAAGGAAACATGGGATCCTTAAGTGGCAATAACCAGAATCAGGAGGGAAAAGTGAGAGGGAAATGCAAACAGAAGAGGAGGGTGACTACCGTTGGTGTCATACTTGCAGACAATCATTATACAGTGGTACCTCGCAAGACGATTACCCCGCAAAACGGTTTTTTCGCTAGACGGTGACATTTTGCGATCGCTATAGCAATTCGCAAAACGGTTTCTCCTATGGGGGATTTCTCTGGACGATCATTTGATCCGTGCTTCACAGACTGTTTTTTCGCAAGACGACGATTTTTACAGCTGATCGGCAGCTTTGCAAAATGGCTTCCCTATGGGCGATGTTCGCAAAACGGATGTTTTCAGGACCAATGCTTCGCAAGACAGCGGTTTAAATAGTTGATCGCCGCTTCGCAAAATGGTTTCCCTATGGGCGATTTTCCCTATAGACTACGACTATTTCCCCCCACTGGAATGCATTAAACGGGTTTCAATGCATTCCAATAGGGAAACGCTTTTCACTAGACGATGTTTTCACAAGACAGCGATTTCAATCGAACGGATTAACATCGTCTAGCGAGGCACTACTGTATCTGTATCCAGTCCTTCTTGAAGGAGTTCATGGTGGCACAAGTGAGACTGTCCTGTCTAATTCCCTCACAGCTATTCCTAGGTTTGTGTTTCAGGGCCATGAATGGCTCAAGAAGGCATCTCAGTGGAATTCATGGCTGGGCAGAGATATGAGTCTCTCTCATCCAAGGCCAGCATTTACCATGGTACAGTGGGGTCTTGACTTGAGAACTTAATCTGTATTGGAAGGCGGTTCTCAAGTCAAAAAGTCTGTAAGTCAAGTCTCCATTGACCTACAGTGCATTGAAAACTGATTAATCCCGTAACAGGCCGTTTTTGTTCCATTTTGGGTTTTTTCTGGTCTGTAAATCAATTCTCACGCTGCAAGTCAAACCTAAATTTTGCGGCCAGAGAAGTCTGTAACTCAAAAAGTCTGTAAGTCAAGGGTCCACTGTACTACATAGTGCAGATTTAAATGCTCATAATACAGATATACCAATTGTGTAATAAGTGGGTTGAATATGGGTGGAGCTTGGAAATATTATTTTTGGGGGGAGTGCCATTCCCAGACCGTGTGTAGCCTATGGACATGCTGGCTGGGGGATTCTGGGAGTTAAAGTCCTAAAAGATAATGTATCTAAGATGCAAATATAAATTTAATACAGATATGCCAGTTGTTAAGTTATTCCACTGAAGAGATACATTCAAAGCATTTACTAATCAAAAGAAATGCGGCGGGAGCAAAAGGAAATAATGTGATGGCTTTTAAAATTTGTTCCTCGCTTTTACAAAAGCAAGTACTGAGCTCTGAGGACATTTAAGTTTTATTCTTTCTTTCTGAGAGGCAAATTTTTCTTTTTCATGTCCTCTATAACTGAACCATTTTGATGTTTATCAGAATTTAATTCATGCTGCTTTAATTCATGCAAACTGAGAAAAGGCACAGGAGGATTTCTGCAGCCAGACTTCAGGAACCTAGCCATAAACAGTCGGCTTTACTGTAACAGCATAGAAACATTACCTTGAATGAAATCACAAAGACACCTTCTGTTTCACTTCCAAGTTGCTGGATAGATTCTTCATCCTCTGTAACCATGACGATAGGCATCTGACCCAAGAAATGATTATAGTACCACACGGATGCATTATAAATACTCCTAGGGGAGCAAGCATTCACATTTACTAATTTGTGTCATGTTACACAAGTGGTGTTGAGCGACTGGTTGGAGCAAGAGGTTGGGAGTTCAAATCCTCACGGTACCTGATCTCCTTTACTTCTTGCGTGGCTCCCAGCATTCATGCGGGAACAGTTGTAATCCTAACACCACACTGGAATACCCCCGATTAAATCACTGCAAGGCATTCCCATCTTAGCACAATTGATGGGTGTGCAATATATGGGTCAGATAGCAGTCACTGGCAGGCTAGGTCTAAAATATGGACTAACAGCTGCTCATCACAGGTTTGGAACACTATTTTTAAGTGCCAACACAACATAAGCTGAAGACGTACCTTGTCTGCCACTTCTCCAAAGGCTCTCCTCTGTCTCTTGGCAAATAAGAAAGCAGATGGAATTCATTGAAAAACAGAACACAATCATGACGGGCATCCCTCACCAAATTTCGCAGTTTATTGTACTGTCTGTGGAGGAAACAGGGGGGAAAGGCAGATTTTGTCAAAGCAATACAGCCTGATTAAAGGAAGATTAATTTTGATAATAATTTGATAATAATTAAGATTCAGATTGTCTTGTGCATTTAAGTAACATCCAAAAGAAGCTTGAGCATAAGCATGGAATCTGCTCCCAATGTTAGAATGTCTAGATTAACAGATTATATTATATTCAGAGAGAGTATCACTAATAGAATTTTGACTCCATGACTACATGTTTTAATGGGCAAGATTTATTAAAACCACTATGTAAAAGATATCTTAACAATGTTGCATGAAGTTACTTTTCTTCTTCCTTACCTTGTCTCCTTGTCTCCCTTTCTTGTCTCCCTTTTATCACACCTCTTGAAATTGCAGACACTGTCTTATCATTATAGTGCTCGACTAAAGTAAGCATTTTATAAATGTTTATTAATAATAATTACTGAATCAAATTTTGAATTGGATTAAATTAAACATATAATAAATACCTGTTAAGCAATTTTAAATTTTTTAGTTTTACGATTTTACAGGGGAATTGGTTACGGCTTTTAGAAAGAAAAATAATTATGATTTTTTATTGTCATACAAGTACTGTACAATGCAAAACATTTTCTTATAAATTTAAGATGCCCATAGAAAAACCTTTAACATAATTTAAATCTAATTAGAACTTTCAAAAAATGAAATAAATTGATTTTTTTAAAGCCCCTCTCTGTTAGGTTTATTGTGCTGTCAGTCATGCAGAAGAGGGCTAGGCTGGACCTGCCTCCTACCTCCCACAGAACATGCAAGAGGCAGCTTCTGAGATGGGTGAAGATCGTCCCTGATTTCCATAATGACACAGGGTTACATGAATACAGCAGCGAGTTGCATAAAGGCCTTCTAACAGAACTCCTATAGGTTAAGGAGGAAGAAGAATACTCAGGACCAGTGGGTTTTTTTCTACCTCTCCTATACCTTCACCTCTCTTGTGCCATTTTCTGAATATTAAACATAACAACTAAATACTGTAATAATGTTGTTATTATATCTTTATATAAAATACTCACAAAACTGTAGTACTGAAAACTAACTTGGAAAGGGGGCTTTTAATAGATTCTTTTAATTATGATCCCTTTGAGTCACTAAAAATGCAAAATATGTACAATACTTAGTACAACAAAACTGTTAGTTAAGTCATTAATGCACAGTGGAAAACATCTGAGATTTCAAAAATGCACAGCCCCACGGTGGGTGGATGGATGCCTCCCTATTTACTCTATATTTGTCCCATCAAATTGCATGATCCATGGGGAAAAGATTTATAGATTGTAGCTTTTTCTGTCCCCAAATTTCACATGAGTCTCAGGCTGCACAAGAACTACACACAGAAAGAGAAAGGCCGGGCCTGGGTATCGTAAATGGAAAAGGATTGAAATAATCTTACAGGCTCCCACACGAAAAGCTTTCACACAACCCAGGGAATGCCCTACGGTTAAAGAAATGCAAGCAGCAGGAAAGCATTAAGTATCTTCATTAACTTGCCTTGTTATGACTATGGATTAGAATACTTCCATTACTTCTGAAATATATTCACAGATAATAATGGTATAATTAATGTCAGCTGGAGAAATCCCTGATTAACCTTTCAGGTCCCAAGGGCATACGCAGTGCCAACATACTCACAAAGCCGCTGGGGCATATCATTAACCTTTGTAAGTCTAAAAAAAAAAAAAAGAACAGCAAAGCAGCAGATTTCACAGTTTGGTTGGAATTTTCTTGCCTTATACAATCTCACTGGAAAGATGAAATAAATCTGCCAAATAAACCTCTGAAAAACCAACTAACTTGAAGCATATCTGTTAATTGGCCAAACAGATGAGCTGAATATTGTGGGCAGGGTTGCCAGATTTTAGGTGACTGGATAAAGTCTCAGGGAACTGCTATGCTTCCCGGAGTCTTGAAGCAGGCAGAAAAAAAATCAAGAGGAAGAAAATTTGGAGGAAGTTTGATTTTTGGTGTGTGGCATCAATGCCTGGACACCCCCTTGCCTCCCTACTTCCAGCTGGCACCAGGGTTCATGGGCTCAGCACCTTGGTGCTTGCATGCACATTGCCCACACACACAATACATGTCTAGGAGGACTCAAGGAAGGCCACCTCGTCTCTCATACACATATCTTGTTGTTTAGTGTACTCAATTGCACTACAATAGGCCAATGGAATCAACGGGGACTTGCTGAGTCAGTTCCTCCAGAAGTTCTATTGCTTCAAATGAGCTTACTCTCGCTACAACTTACTACACTACTCACAGTTAGAGTAGACCCATCTGAGTCAACAGAACTTGCAGTAGAACTGACTCACCAAATCTCAAATGATTCAATGAACCTACTCTAGTGCGACTTGCTCCATTGAGCAACAGGATTTTGGCCACTATTTTCTGACTTTTATCTAAGAGCCAACTTTCTGTGCCATCACAAGTTATCCTCTCCCCACCTTAGGCTTTGGCCACGAAATTTCTAGAACCCAAATGTGTGGGTGCAACAACATCAACTGAGTTCTATCAGAGTTGGAAAATACTTTTTTGGGGGACTATACCTCTCAGAGTCCCAGCTGTGTGAGCTATGGAATTCTGAGAACTATTGCGACCCCTGAAAACAACAACAAAAACAACAACACACAGCAACACATGTTGCCCATTTTTAAGTCCTATGGACTCTTGAATATTCATGTCCAAAATGCCTTGAACATCACAGACTAGAAGTCACGGGATGTTTTTCAATGAGGTTGGCTCACACATCTGGCTATGGATCAAAAGGCATATGACTTTCCAGGGGAGCCACAAAAAATGATGGGACTGGTAGTCTCTCTGCCCATTAGGCCAAAAAAGGTGCCTTTGCAAAAACTATCAGTCTCATAATCCCTTGTGGCTCCCTGGCGCTTAACCACTCCTAGCCGTTTCTTCCTTTTGCAGCGACGAATGGGAGTCACTCAGGAGGCTTACAGAGCTCCACGTGTGATGATGAAAAATTCCTCTGTGGGCTTATATTTTTTTGGCTACAGCTGCCAATTGGGGGGATTTCTGGTGAATTCTGGGGGATTGCAGTGCAAGAAATCATGTTTAGTCATCAAGTAAAGAGTGATGCAACCGTGAGAAATCAAGTAATGACCCAGCCCGAAGAAACAGGGGCTTATAGGAACTAAATTCTTGCTTGAAAACAAAAAGAAGAATGCAAATAGCCCAACTCAATGCAGTAAGCTCCTGGGATCTATCTGCAGACAGAGCCTGGAAATATAATATTTATAGAGCCTAATGGGCAGCACAATAACATTAGATTTGTTATTGGGGGAGGAATTCCAAATTTTTCCCTAGGCATTCCTTCTCCTGAGGGCACGTTGTTTCATAATTCATAAAAGCAACCAATGCCTCCCTTCCAAAATGAAAAAAATTATGCTAAGCAATATGCTTGGTGCCATAAATGCATTTAGACAACACCACGGATCAATACTACGGTACAGGACTTGACTACTCATCGCTAGGATTCTTGCAGTCTGATAGTTCAAAACAGGGTGATTTGATTCAAATTTAGCTGATTTAAATCCTGTAACCTGAGTCCATTAAGACCAAAAGCTTTACTCAGAATTATGAAAAATCTGTGACACTTCTTGCAGCTTTTGGGAATTATAACCTAATACTACCAAGGTCCCCAACACTAAAAATCAAGGGTCTAAACATCAAAGTGGTCGCACTTTGTAGCATAATACAGTTACAAGATACGACAGAAAACACACACCTAAGAGATCTGGTTTCAGAGATCTCCTCACTTCACCCAAAGTAACTTCTGAGGTACCATATGGTGGCCAATTCCTACTGTATGCTAATCCATTCAAAAAGCACTGTCCAAAATGAAAAGACAGTCTCCCATGGATAAGCTGAAAGATGATTTAATTTGGAAGAAAATGATACTCTGGAAATCTCTGTATAAGATGAAGCCAGGGTGATTTGCATAGCCCCTGTTCGGACAGCTTTCTAGCCTGGAGAAGATCCAGCCTACTACCGTTCATGACACAGGTAGCTACAAAGCGCTTTCTAGCCTGGAGAAGATCCAGCCTACAGCTCATGACACAAGTAGCTACAAAGTTGCCTCTCTAAAGAAAGAAGGAAAGAAAGAAGCACAAAATAATGGATACGAAAAAGAAACAAAAATCCAAAAGTTCCCTTGTCTGTTTTTCTCATTGCCAAAGTTACACTGTTCAACTCAACTGGCCAGAAAGAACTGGACTTAGAATGCCTGTGTTTGCCAGTTCAACAGCAGGCCTGCAAGCGGTCCAGATCCAGGACATGAAGATCTCTGAAACCTGATTTGCTTAAGCTTACATTTTCAGTTGGACCTTCTGACAGTGTAAAGCTCGCCACGTGTAACCGAGAGCGGCCAATTTGCTCTTTAAAGAGCATTTGTTCTCAAATTTGGGACTCCCGATAGCCTTAGATTATAATCCCTACAAGGCCTGAAAAACACCATAGACTCTTCTTGACAATTCTAAGTAAGGTCGCTGGGTATACACAAAGGTTAAATTTACTTTTGGAAAGCGAGTATGGATAGGCCCATTCCCTCTGAGAAGGTGAAATGACAGATCTCATCTATGGGGGGGGGGGGAGATCCATGTTTTTATTAATTTAATAAGTTAAAAGTTCTCATTTTTCTACATTAATGGTTAATATTCCAATGTCTAACACTTAGCTTTAATGATTTTTAAAAACTATTTGTCAAAGCTCTGCTTCCAGGCAGAGACCTGCATCTGAGGTTTGTTGTTGTTTAGTTGTTAAATTGTGTCCGACGCTTCGTGACTCCATGGACCAGAGCACGCCAGGCCCTCCTGTCTTCCACTGCCTCCCGGAGTTGGGTCATATTCATGTTGGTTGCTTCGATGACCCGCTGTCATCCCCTTCTCCTCTTGCCTTCACACTTTCCCAACATCAGGGTCTCTTCCAGGGAGTCTTCTCCTCTCAAGAGAGGGCCAAAGTATTGGAGCCTCAGCTTCAGGATCTGAGGTTACCTAATAGAAATATGTTGTTCCATTTGGGCGTCTGGGCTTAAGTGCCCAGTCAAATATTAACCAATGACTTTTTGGAAGTACTGGCATTAACAAAAAAGTATACAGGGATGTACATGAGGTTGACTTTTGAGTCTGAGGTAGATGAGATTACCTGCGACCCCTTTGATGCTGCACTGCTTGGCACGCTGTCTGCATGAATACAATGCCCCTCAGCTCAGGGAACTCCAATATTTCTAGGTAATCTTGGACCACTTTCCAGTCAGGCACAATATAATGAGTCACATCATCAGACAGCAATTTCCCAACTGAAAAAGAATTCAAAATTGACAATTATGTATTTATGTACTAATATAGGGTGCTTTGCAGAGCAGAGGACAAGAAGGCAAGTCCCTGTCTGAAGTAGCATACAATCTCTACCTCAAAGCAGCAGAAAGGAAAATAAGTGATGGCAAAGAGAAAAATAATATGCAGTTGTTTTATAATTAAACCCTGTTCATTTACCACCATGATTAGTAACCACCTCTGCATATTTTGAGAAGCTCAGCCCAGCTCTCTGCCATTGCCCTCCTATCGTGTTGACCCTTCTCCGCGACTCTGACAAAACGTACTCCTCGGCTACATGACAATTAAAGCCCTTTATTCAAAACAAAAGGAAACCCTAGAGTGAATCCACAGCAAACTTTTTGTCCTATACAAGCTGAGCAATTTTTGCCAGGATAACAGCTGCAAAGGAAGGAGTGACCTCACCTCCATGCACCACTGCTCCAATGGAAAATCCATGGGCCCTGGCGCCTGGCATTTGCCAATCACACCATCACAGAAGTGAATAGGAACCAGCTGGTTAAGCCAAGATTCTCATATCAGGTCTTGAGGAATTAGAAGGAACTGCCATTTTATTTCATACAAATTAAATGTGCAGCATTGATTGCATTTAACTGATTCTTTTCAAATTAATCTTTTTACAGAGGAATTAAGTCTCCTGTAGCATTAAGTTTTTTCTTAACTTTGTGAATGGTAATTGAAAGAAACAGGGGGCATATTGCATGAGCAGCCTGGCAAAGCTCTATCTCTGCAAATAAAGAAAATATATATACACATATTCTACTTCTTCACTACGACTCAGTTTAGTGCAAGAGAAAAGAGTCTGTTCTACCTGTTTCAAAATATTTCTACAAACATTTTGACAGAAAATATTTCTGTGATGTTGGATCTGTAACACAGCATGACTGATTTTATATGTTTCTTGGGGTCAAGGAGCCTTGAGGGAAAATGGCATTGTCTTTTTCTTAAAATATTTTTTTATAAATTAAAGAAAAACAATAAAAACAATACTAACATAAATTGTGTGTACATACATACCGGGAATCCCAAATCCCCCCCCCCCGTGCCACCATCACCCTCAGGACCAGATAACAAAATATTTCCTTTTAATCTCTTTTCACCCCATTCCACTCCAAAAATACATTGATTTTTCTGCTGGCTTATGACCTCTCCCTTTTACTAAAACATAGTTCAAATATGGATTCCATATTTCTTTAAAATCATTACATTTTGTCATTCCCCTTTTTCTCTTAATTTCACATGTTAGCTTATCATTTCTCGCTAAACTCCACATTTCTTTACACCAATCTTCAAGGTTGACTTGTTTATAATTTGTCCAATTTTTTGCAAATTGGTTTACAAAGGGTTTATTAAGTGCTTTTTAAAGCCATACATATTGTGCAGATGATTTAAAAAATATCAATAAAAAAAACTTTAACTTTTTATTTATTTATTTATTGAATTTATATGCCACCCACTCTACCCAGAGGTCTCTGGGCGGCTTACAATAATTAATTTTAATCTTGCTGCTGTGACTATTATAACAATTAACTCTTTCTGGGCTTTTAAAAGATGGTCCTTGATTATATCTAGTTGGTGATATTTGAATATTACTTCCAATAATTTCTCTAATTTCTTTAAAAACCAGTGCCCATCCTTTCTTCCTTATTTCACAAGTCCACCACATATGTACATAACTTTTTTTCCTTTTTGCATCTCCAACATTGAAATTGTACATTTTTATTTTTGAAAAATGGCTTTGTCAAAACTGACGCATAGCTACATAATTTACAAAGTCTGGTCCTGCCATGTCAGTCCAATAAGAAACATTTTAATTGGGGGGGGAGGATTTGAGTCTCTTACATGCTAGAAAACAATTAACAGTGACCTTAAAAGGGCTTTCAAGTTAAGCAAGACGCTTAAGCAATAGTTTACTGGTTCCACCCCCGGTTGTAAATCTCCATGGCCAAGTGGAAATTCATACCCAGGTCTTCTGAGTCCTACTTTGTCACTCTATTCACTGTATCAACTGGATATCCTATAAAGGATGTCCAATTCTCCCAATTGCTTATGTTTGTATAATAGCTTTTTGGGGTACCCATATAAAGTTCATAGCCCAATCCTGAGGGGAAAACGGAGATATAACTATGGACATGTTTATTACATGCTGGAACCGACTTATAGCGACCCTAATAAGGCTTTCAAGGTAAGTGAAATATTTAGGCAGTGGTTTTATCAGTTCCGCACCCCTAGTGAATTTCCATAGCAAATCGGGGATCTGAACCCTAATTTTGTGCTGGCCCTGCCCCTTTTCCTTCTTCCCGCCACTCTCTATTACCCACTGCGGGAACAGGCCCATGGGCAGAGGGCCCTGCCGCAAGGCCCATCCGGCCGCAGGTAATGTCCTGCCACTCTGTTCCACCACCGCCTCTGTCACTCGTGGGAAGTCAGGACTGGGGGTGCAAGCGCCTCGTGGCACAGTGGTTAAGCTGCTGCAGTGCAGCCGAAACTGTGCTCACGACCCGCAGTTCAATCCCACGTTGCCAGCTCATAGTTGACTCAGTTTCCCATCCTTGTGTAGCCTACAGAATTAACTTGCAAACTGCCCAGAGAGTGCTTGAAGCACTATGTTGTTAAGTCATGTCCGACTCTTCGTGACCCCATGGACCAGAGCA